ATTCTCATACCTTTGACCTTGAAAACCACCAGAATTGATGAAATTTACATCCTCCTGTTCAACTTCCTCTGGAGCTTCGAAAGTTTCTACTTCTGCAGCAAAGTGAACTGACTTCTTTCCCACCAAAAGGCTGTGCATATCGTCCAACTTAGCCTTAACTTCAGCAATCTGATTTCCATCAGCCACACCAGCTTGTTTCATCCTCTGAAAGTCTGCATTTTTAATGCTGTTGGTGTTGAAGTTTCCTGCACTTGCTGCATCCAGCGCCATCTGATACTTCCAGTCAATACCTCTGAAGAAAATCCCAAGTAATTGCACCTGACTAAAACCATGATGAGGACAGTCCCTTTGATAAGACTTGAACCTGATCCAAGAAGCTTTAAAAGCTTCAGTAGGGCCTTGTGTAAATGGTGCAATTTTCGTCCTCATGTCCTCTGATCTTACATCATCATAGAAGTTATTCAGAAAAGCATTCTTGGTGTCTTCCCAAGTGGTCAATGAAGCAGGCTCCAGTTGCTTCAGCTAATATGCAGCTTCTCCTTCAAGAGAGTAAGGGAAAAGCTTGCAGAACAGAAAATCATTGCTAACCCCATTAGCTTTGACACTGGAAGCTAAATCCTCAAACCTCTCAATGTGATCTATAGGATGCTCATGAGGTAAGCCATGGAATGGATGCTGGCCAACCAGCTGATAGTAGACAGGTTTAACCTCAAAATCGTTCCTCTGGAAAGCAGGAGGTCGGATTGCAGCTCTGTTGGCATAAAACTGATCAGGTCTGTTGTAATCACCTAGAGTCCTCTGAACAAAACGCCCAGCAGCGTTATTGGCAGCAGCAGGGACTCCCACGTTCTCATTCACTTGTTGAACCTGCTGTTCAACAATGATATTTCCCTCTTGATCAATTCTCTACCCCTCTTCGTTTCTCCTGTTTCCTTCCCTGTCAACCAAGTGACCTTCTGCATCTTCAACCAAGATAAGTGGAGCGACCATTGTAGATTGTTTCTTAGCTTTCCTGTTAGTTCTCTCCAACCTAGCAAGCTCGTCGATGCTCAAAGTCACAAGCTCCTTCTCTTTGTTGCTTCTGGTTCTGCGATTAGGCATACACCTGAAACAGGAACAAAGAAAAGCAGCAGAAAGTCAGTAAAAAAATTAAAACTTAGATAAAATCCTAATACTAAAAATTGATAGGCAGCTATTACTCCCCGGCAACGGTGCCAAAAACTTGATAGGGCTCAGGTTTTACCCAAATAAAACTACTGCAAGTGCACAGCAAAGCAGTTGTAATACAAAGGGTATCGAAATCCCAAGAGAGTAATGCAGACTACACTATCGAATGTAGGTTTGGATTTAGCTAAGCAAGATATGATGTATGTAATGCGAATAAATGAATAAAAGTAAGCAAACGATTTTGTAAGATGATCTAAGTTTCAGAAGACTAAAAGCGCTAAGTCAGGACAGTTCGCAGGTTGAATCCAAGAATGTAGAATGCATGAAATCAGGAATGATTAAGAACCGTTTTAAACATGAATCACTAATGTATAACTAATCAATTCTCATTGCAAAAGTTATCTATGCCTAAATCACAGAGTTTCAAATCTCTTTGCAAACCCTAACAACCTAAGCATGCAGGAATGATCAGATTCAGTTGCTTAGAAAACTCTTAAGCCAAATCTCTTTGCACTAAGTTGTTTTGCTCATCAAATACTAGTTCAAGTTATGAATAATGCTCTCACATTTATTTAGCAACCTAAGATTTTCGGATTCCTAGATGATGTTTCTCAGAAATTCGATTTTAAAGCAAGCAGAGATGAAAAACCAAAAGATATTCCTAACAGAATTGCGATTCTACAATCTCTTCATCAACCCTTGAAAAAGCCATAACTTAACTAGCAGATTACTCAGACATGATTATGAGATCACAAAACATAACTGAATAAAATTGCATTAAGAGAAAGAGTAAAAGAATAACGGGGTTCGAAATCTTCTCAAAAGAGTATAGGATTTGTCTCCCCAAAACGCTCTGAATAAATCTCTCTCTAAGCTCTCTGAATTCTCAAAAACTAAGATAATGGCAAACAATGGCTGAAAAACCTAATAAATAGAGGCTAAACACGATCTGGGGTCTTCTTGTAAATAATGGAACTTCTGGGCCAACTCTGCAAATCTTCTTCACACTTTTAATAAAACAGTCACGCTCCTTCCTTGATGGGTGACTAGCGTCACCAAAGGTGGTGACGATCGTCACCATATGGGATACTTTCTGCTTCGAGCTTGGTACTTCGTGGCTTCAACTCAGAATGCTCCAAAAGGTTCCAAAATCTCCAATTATGCTCCAGACATGCTATAACCTGCAAAAACTCTTCTAGGACTCTAAAAAGATCAAAAAGACTCAATAAAAAGAACTTATATCATGGTTAAAAACCATAAAAACCATGATATATCACAAACCTCCATCGATTATTGTGAAAACTCCATTTTCCACAAACCAAAATAATTTGTTCCATCGATTCAAAATGACCAAGACCTTCATAAACCAGCTAAAGAGAAATCGAAATGTGGATTTAATAGAAGAAGAACAAGAAGAAGATCGAGATTTTAGTTTGTTTGGTCGAACCAGGTGGAGAAAAATGATGGAGGCGGCGATAACATAGAGTGTGAGGAAGATAATGTGATGTGTGGTCCCAAATTTTTGTTTTTTTTTTTTTGGTTATTCAAAACCCTTTACTTTACTACTCCTCCTCTCCCAACTAACTCTTCTACCTCCAACGCCGACATCAGTCTCTGTCCGGGCACTCTGCCTCCTAACTCACTCTACCCGACGTCGGCAAGTTCACTCTACTTGAATTCGAGACTGCCAACTCTCGTTGGTAAGTATTCCACTTTCTCTTCCTTTTCATCCGCCAAATATCTCAACTTCTGTGGCGAGTTCACATCTGTTATAGGTTATAGTTAGAGATTATCGTCAAATCACTTCGTCTGATGTTGTGTGGTACTTATACAAGGCCTCTTGCTGATAGATTTACGTTAACTCTAGGTCTGATAATAAGCCGTTGTGGTAGATTTATGTTTTTTGCACGACCATTTTTAATCTATTGTGGTAGATATACTTGGTTAATTGATGGAAGATTTACTTTATCTGCAGTTCTGACTTTATACGCTTCTCTATACTCTCTATGTTTCAGCGTAAAATGGAAACAAATGATGGACTCCACCAAATAAGAGACCTACTTGGCCGATTCTTCAGAGAGTGGGACGAGTTTCTGCTAAGGACGCATGTCGTGCAGCATGTGCGTCAAAACAACTAAAGACAGCATTAAAGGAACCATCTGTAATGCAAGCACTAAACCTATCAGACTTCGTTGCTGATACAACTTTGCTCGAACGATATCCTTACTTCTTCAATTTGTCTCTCTCATCAGACAATCTGCATGCATTATACCTGCACGGATTGATGACAATAGCTATAGACCACGGCGTTGAAAATTCGCTCAGATTTTTTTGAACAAGGCTTCCAAAGCCGGGATAGACCAAGCAACATTGATGGTCACTGTTATCGCAACCGCATATGGCCACTATCCAACTGCAATGGAGATGTTGGAAAGAGTTGTAGGTTGGAGATCACGCATGCACTACATGATCGAACTAGGTGAAGAGGTTTCTCGAACCAAGATGGGAATGCAGAGTGCTACTGCAGATCTGTTGCCCAATGTTTTCAAAGTAGAAGAATTTCCAAGCTGCAGGTTCAAACACCCATTAATGTGTTGTCACGAGTGCTACCTTTTTCTTTAGTACCAACTGCTTAGATTTCAGTTTTAATAGCGTCTATTTTCTACTGTGGATCGCTTTATCTATCTCTATGCACTTTGTTCGTTGAACATCTCTAAGTACTTTCTTTCTTTAAGAACTGCTTCTCTATGCACTTTCTATAAATTTTGAAATGTAATGAACGAGTCTTCAACAGTCGCTATAGAGGTTGAATCTCTTCACTGCAATATTCACATTCTTATCACGTCCAAAATCAACATCCCACTGATCAACATTTGATTTCAACGTTCTTCACCGTCCAATACCCCATGAAAAGTCTACCACTACGCAATCACGATCTGTGAAAAAGTCAACTATCTACCAGCACATAATAAGTCTACCACCACGTAACACGATAAATCTACCAATGATGTTATTCTGGTAATTATAGAAAATATAACTTTATCACTACGAAAATAAAGTAAATCTACCACAACAGCAAAATAACTCTACCAGGATTCGTTGGCACTAAAAACTCTACCATCAACAAAATAACTCTACTACCAAGTAAATACAAAACAAATCTACTAGGAGTAACAAAAATCTACCACCACAAATACTAAGTCTACCAAATAAAAATAAATCTACCAAGTCCAAAAACTAATCTACCGCCATTCAAAGTCAATGAATGTAAAAAGTCAATCAATCACCCTCTGGTAGGGTCGAAAACAAAAATCTTCCACAACATATTTTTAAGTCTACCAAGGTCCCCAACAAATCTACCGTTCGAGAAACAAATCTACCGTTCGAGAAACAACTCTACCATTTCCAAAAAATCTCCTGCGTCATAAGCACTTCACCGTCAACAACAACTCTACCACACGAAATAAATCTACTAGCCGTTGACCAAACAAAACAAGTCTACCGTCAAACATCTCGCTGACATGGCAAAGAAAAAGTAATGGCACAATCGTAAATACCGTTTTTGTTATCAAAGGCTAGAAAGACATAATCGGTACGATAGGTTAGTTCAGTAATAAAAACAAATTTTAGCTATTCTAGTGAATACACCTATTTAAAAGAGTATTCTAGTAATCCTCCCGAAAATAAATACAAAAAGGCTTTTCTTAACCTCTCATAAAAATAAAAATATAAATATAAATAATTAGCTATAGTAGTAATTAATTGACTCGCATTTTGACAGAAGTGGTTGACTTAAACAGCAAAAGGGACCCACAAGTGCAGCAGATTTATAAATGAGAAGAGTAAGCAGAGGAGAAAAGAAAATTAATTTTAGAAAAACAAAAATGAAGAAAAAGAAGCAGAGGTCTTCTTCCCTGTCGATGGTGAGTGCTCAGGACGGATCTCAGCGGTTAATCCATCAAAATCGGATGGTCTTGAAGTGACCACGTACTTGAGTAAAGGTATGTTGTTTCCACTTTAAGTTAATTAAAGACAACCAAAACCACATTGCTCTATAACTGTTTCCTCTATTTCTTCTTCCTCTTCCTATGTGCAACATATTCTTCCTGTGTGTGCAACCATTGCAATAAGTCGATTCAGAGCATAGATTAACATTTTTATCACTATTGTTTAGCGTGCAGATGCTATTTCAAGGAGGATACTTGGAAACTGTAGCGATTCTGAAATCCGAGAGTGTCTCCACGAAAGCCACAGAGACGACATACACGTCTTTGCGACAGAAGAGAACGAGTTCATCTTTCTGAAGAATTTTGTTACCGCCACAGACATCAATTTAAACGAAGATCCTAATTTCACAAGCCATTTTTACTAATTTATCTTTTAACAATTCCCAAAAGTTTATAATGGTAATGTCATGTTGTTTGGTACTGTTAGGAAGAAATGAAAATAAATTTGCTTAGTATTTTTAAATTCCAACGTGAAACATCAAAACATGCAATTATATAATAATAGTATTACATGAACCAAAAATTAAAAAAAGTCTTTTTCAATTATGATTCATAAAAAAAATTAAAAAATTTTGTATTTGGAATTCTCGTGATTTAAAAAGTCGAACATGCTTGGTGACAATAGTCAAAACCAAAAGAAAAAGAGTAAAATGAGAAACTGATTATCTTTTTTTGTTAGCGGATGATTCGAATTAGTGTATATATGAGGAGTACTTAACAGCTACGAAACAGACAAGTAACTAATTTTGTTAACATAAATAATACGCCTAATAATTATATATGAGAACAACTTTGCATGCGGTATGAATAAAAATAAATACAAAAGAGCCCTTCTTAACCTGTGGTAAACATATAAATATAATTAGAAATAGTTAGCTGTAGTAGTAATTAACTGACTCGCGTTTTGACGGAAGTGGTTGACTAAAACAGCAATAGGGATCCACAAGTTCAGCAGATACATAAATGAGAAGAATAAGCGGAGGAGAAAAGAAAATTAATTTTAGAAAAAGAAAATAAAGATAAAGAAGCTGTTATCTTTTCCCCGTCGACGGTGAGTGCTCCGGACGGATCTCGGCTGTTAATCCATCAAAATTGGACGGTCCTGAAGCGACCATGTACGTGAGTAAATGTATGTTGTTCCCGTTTTAAGTTAATTAGAGACAACCAGAACCTCATTGCTCAGTAACTGTTTCGTCTATTTCATCTTCCTTTTTTTGTGTGCAACATCTTCCTCCTGTGTGTGCTACCATGGCTATTAGTCGATTCAGAGCATAGATTAACATTTTAACCAGAGATGTTTAGCGTGCAGATGCTATTTCAAGGAGGATACTTGGAAACTGTAGCTATTATGAAATCCGAGAGTGCCTCCACGAAAGCCACATATACGACATACACGTCCTTGCGACCGAAGAAAACGGGTTCATCTTTCTGAAGACTTTTGTTACCGCCACAGACATCCAGTTATACGAAGATCCTAATTTCCTAAGCCATTTTGATGAATTTATGTTTTAACAATTCCCAAGAATTTATAATGGTAATGCCATGTTGTTTGGTACCGTCATGAAGAAATGAAAATAAATTTGCTTAGTATCATTAAATTTCAATGTGACACCTCCAAAACATACAATTATAAAATAATAGTGTTACATGAACCAAAAACTAAAAATGCTCTTTTTTACTTATGATTAATAAAGAAAATTAATAATTTTTTGTATTTGGAATTGTTGTAATTAAAAAATCCGAACATGCTTGGCGGCAATAGTCAAAACCAAAAGAAAAGAGTAAAATGAGGAACTGATTATCTTTATTTGTTAGCGGGTGATTCAAATTAATGTATATATGTCGACTAATTAATATCTAAGAAACGGTCAAGTAACTAATTTTGTTAACATAAATAATACATCTAATAATTACATACGAGAACAACTTTGCATGCGGTATGAAAGAAAATAAATACAAAAGGGCCCTTCTTAACCTCTTGTAAAAATATAAATATAAATATAAAAAATTAAATGTAGTAGTAATTAGTTGACTCATGTTTTTACGGAATTGGTTGACTTTAACAGCAAAAGTGACTCACAAGTACAGCAGATATATTAATGAAAAGAGTAAGCGGAGGAGAGAATAAAATTAATTTTAGAACAAGAAGGAGAGGTCTTCTTTCCCATTGACGCTGAGTGCTCCGGACGGTCCTGAAGTGACCACGATCGTGAGTAAAGGCATGTTGTTCCTGTTTTAAGTTAGTTAGAGACAACCAGAACCTCATTGCTCTTTAACTGTGTCCTCTATTTCTTTTCCCTCTTCCTGTGTGCAACATCTTCTTTCTCTTCTTCTTATGTGTGCAACCATGGCTATTAGTCGATTCAGAGCATAGATTAACATTTTGACCACTTATGTTCAGCGTGTAGATGCTATTTCAAGGAGAATACTTGGAAACTGTAGCGATTCTGAAATCCGAGAGTGCCTTCACAAAAGCCACAAAGACGACATACACGTCCTTTGCGACACAAGAGAACGTGTTCATCTTTCTAAGGAATTTTTTTACCGCCATTGACATCCAGTTATACGAAAATCCTAATTTCACAATCAACTTTTATGAATTTATCTTTTAATAATTCCCAAGAGTTTATAATGGTAATGCCATGTTGTTTGGTACCTTAAAGAAGAAATGAAAATAAATTTGAGTAGTATTTTTAAATTTCAACGTGACAGATACCTCCATATAATTGTGATATTATATCAATATGATTGTGATATTATATATCCACATTCATTCATTATTGATTAGATGTATTAGATGTATCATATTATCATGCATAAATTCATATAGGTCATCGACTCAATGGTGTGTATGAACTTTTTGTACAGTCAATTAACAGGGTTTGTGTGTCTAACATAGATGAACAAATAACATAGAAAGTAGGTTATGAGTTATAACGAATATTATTTAGTTTTCAGGGCCACACTCTACAAATTTCTTTACCTATATTGGTCTCACTGATTTCAATGTTCTCCAGATTTTGGTGAGATCAGGTCATGTTGATGTTCAAAAGAAACTTGAATATATTAGTGGTCTAGAGAAAATTTTGGGATGCTACATGGGATATGTGATTTGTTGTCATATGATGTGGAGGAGATTTGAACTCTGGAGGATGGGTTAGCCTGCAACGACAAGAAAGAAGAAAGTGATTTTTGGTAAGCCGGAAAGGTGTTACCATCTCGATTACGCTCCGACGTTCTAATCAAAAGAGACACAGGACTGGACGAAAGCGTATTAGGTCTACCAGAAGGACTGATTATGTAGGCGTTCTATTGACTCAAAGGGATCCCGATATAACTTTTAGGATGGTGATACTCTATTGTAAAATAAAGCTAGAAGATGAAGTTATCGTTCTAGATGTCTCCCCCTCTCTGCTGTCGAGAGGAGTGTGTTTTTATAGAGAATACCTGGTTTTGGATCGCTTCCCAGGTTCGGACCTCCAGACTCCCCGGGTCGGGTACCAACTTCCATCCTTTTTCATCATTATCGCCATTCTCGGAATCCTCCGTGAATGTAGTCAGAAGGAATGGGTTGCAGACCTGCCCTGCCTTCTCTTAGCCGCCCTCATTGCAGCTCTATTTGGTAGGTGCGGTGCATTTAATGCGCCTCGGGTTACCGCAGCGTCCGTTGTCCACGCGTTGGGTCTTCGTGGGTCGTGTATGCATTTTGCGGTCCAACAGTTGCCCCCGATATACGGAGCTCGCTTGGGAGGTTCGGAAGTCTGCCTTGCACGCGAAATGAAGTATAGAAGATCAGTATGCTCTTATCTCGTTTGTCTTCCAGCTGCGGGTTGGGTCCTGTTGACGTTGATTTCCACGAGGGTGGATTTCGAAAAGCCCGTTCCCTGGTGGCGTTTCCTGGAGGGCGTGCCCTGGGAGGCCGGTCTCGGTAAGACTGTTATGAGTTTCCCAGAGAGTGTGTCCTTGGAGGCCGGTCTCGGAAAGACCATTATTCCCGGAGGGAGTTTCCTAGTCGGCGTGCCTCTAGAGGCTGGTCTCGAAAAGATCGTTGTCCTTGGAGGGAGTTCCCGGAGGGCGTGCCCGTGGAGACCGGTCTCGGAAAATCCGTTATCTCCAGAGGGAGTTCCCCAGAGAACGTGCCCCTAGAGGCTGGTGTCGAAAAGACCGTTATCCCCGGAATGAGTTCCCCGGAGGGCGTGCCCCTGGAGGCCGGTCTCAGAAAGACCGTTATCCCTGGAGGGAGTTTCTCAAAGGGCGTGCCCCTAGAGGCCGGTCTCGAGACCGTTATTCCTAGAGGGAGTTTCCCGGAGGGCGTGCCCATGAAGGCCGATTTCGGAAAGACCATTATCCGTAGAAGGAGTTCTCCGAAGAGCGTGCCCCTGGATGCCGGTCTCGGAAAGACCGTTGTCCACGGAGGGAGTTCTCTGGAGGGCGTGCCCCTGGAAGCCGGTCTCGGAAAGACCGTTATCTCCGGAGCAAGTTCTCCGGAGGGCGTGCCCCTGGAGGCCGGTCTCGGAAAGACCGTTATCCCTGAAGGAAGTTCCCTGGAGGGCGTACCCCTGGTGGCCGGTCTCGGAAAGACCGTTGTCCCCGGAGGGAGTTCCCAGAAGGGCGTGCCCTTGGAGGACGGTCTCGGAAAGACTGTTGTCCTCGAATGGCATGTTTCTGAATCCCATGACCGAGATCCAGAACTTTTAGGATCAGAGCCCTATCGTGGCAAGGGCGCTCGGGCGGGTCCCAGTTTGCGGTCGGCGCAGAGTTTCATGTGTGGTTCGTCTCTTAGGAGAGTGGGCAGACTTTGCAAGCCGGTCCTCGGATTTTCGTAAATATTTCCTAATGACAAGAGATTTTCTTTTTATTACCCCTTCGCCGTGCGGATCGTGTGGATCCCCATAAATATTTCTTTTTTGCTAGGGTTACACGTGTGTTTCTGGTATTTTTCTTCCACGCTGCCGTTTATTCGCTTTCACGAGTCGCTTTTCACGCTACCTTGATTCTGGGGCTTTCTCTCCCTTTCTCTTGGTAAGATTCTTCTTCTTCTTCTTCTACCCTTTTCTCAGTCAATGCCTCGAATGCCTAAACGGAGAGGGGTCCGATCCTTGTGCTAAACTCCGAGAGGATCCGTTGCTTCTTGACTACGACGTCGACGACCCCGCCACACTGTCTCCTGTGGGTCCTCGCGGTGGGGATTTTCCATACGCTTCGGAGGTGTTGCATCCACCAGAGATCCGGTGGATTTTTGTGCTTTTCTGGACTCGGTCCGCCCGCATAGCATGATGTCGGTATTCTTTGACCGTTTGGCTTCTGCTTCCCGAGGGCCTCCAAGTTGTATAGCGCTCTACGCCATTTATTGGTCAAATAGACT